TCTTACCACATCTTAATATTTTTATAGCACATATCTTCTTCATTTTTCATTAGCCATGGTTTATATTTCTGACATTATTAAAACTTGTTCAAGATGGCCAAATGATTTTTGTATAAACACTAAAAATAATCATAAGACATCACACTGGGAGTCTACCACCCAACATGTATCTTATTTTTAGATGTCATTACCCAAGCATTTACATTTTTTAGATATGCTCTTGGCTTTACTTCCAATGTTAACTACATGACTCAGACTGACTTCCCTGACACTTTTGTATGCAAAGTGAACCAAATTGTCATCCTTGGCTGTGTCAGAGCATAGAATCATACAATGGTTTGAGTTGGAAGGTACCTTAAAGAGAAGATCATGTAGTCCCAACCCCCCTATCACAGACAGGGACACCTTCCACTAGACCAGGTTATTCAGAGCTCCATTCAACCTGGCCTTAAACACTTCCAAGCATGGAGCATTCACAACATTTTCCAGTGCCTCACCTCAACATTTTTTAAATTGCAGCTTAGTTTCAAATGGTGTTTGCTCTCAAAACCTTAGCTCTGCTGTGGAGATATAAGAGGTTTCTAGCCACTATAACCTTCTTGAAGCATCGAGCACTTAGGGACTGCTGTCCACTCCCCCACCCAGGCAACAGGCACCACTGCCTTGGAGAAAGGCAGAAAAATACAATGGTAGAAAATTCAATCCAGTAACATTACTCACCCATGTAGGTGAAAAACAATTCACATAGTGGCAGGAGATCTGCCACGACGATAAGGATTGCACTGGCAATCTATTATAGCATTATCCACTAGGAATATTACTGAAACACTACACTTAATTATTAAACAGTTAAGAATTACATTGAAAGCTCAGGACAGGTCATCATTCTTGATCAATATAAAGGGTTAATATTTCCATTGTATATTTACTTCTGGGAATTTTCAAAAACTATCTTTGAACTTTCAATTGTTTTTAATAGATGGGAAAGATTTTAGTGCTAATAGTCACAGAACTTTATTTTGTTCATCTTGTTGGATTATCAAATAAGTAAAAATTATATAATTTTTAAAGGAGTTTTAATGAGTTTGGGAATGTGTATTTGAGCATATGGATGTATATGTAGCATATTCAGGACAGACAAATTTTTCATGGCATATTTCTTTACCCAAGGGTTAAGATGTCTTCTGTGTTTATTACACCTATATAGTGAAAAGAAAAATGAAATCATCATCCTGATGATTCTTCTCATTAAATGTCACTCACCCACAGCTGGGATAGGTATACACAGCACTCTAAAATGTCCATGAAGATTGCAAATGTTTTTTCTGTACACTCAACTCTTGGCAGGTCACTGTGAAAAACTTTTTCTTCTTGACCTGTCAGCTTATACATCAGACCTCTGTATCTCTTACAGGATCATAAAGGTCTGTCCCATCTTGGATACTCTGAGTCCAAAATAGGCATAAACTCCCACACTCTTCCACCAGTTTTAGACACAGACTTGCATTAGACTCTTCAGTGCTGATAGACTCTACAAATGCCTCTATCCTGCCCAGGTCTGGGCAAGCTTAAGTTGTTTTTTTGGCAGCTAAACCAGTAATCATCCCCTATGAACCTTTCCACTGGAAGCATCTTGCTTTGGCACTTGAGCTTTGGCACTCAGCCAATGCTTTTACAACCACAGTAACAGATTAAAACCCCACTTTTTCCTCCCATTCTCAAAGCAAAAAAACTGAAACCAAGCAAAACCAAACTCCAGTGCTAGCCTTCTCCCTCTGAATTTCCAAAGAAGCTCAGCATTGGTTTAAGCTGTTCCAATGTCAATTATGACTTTTTGGGGTATACACCATATGTCTCTTACATAATTCTGAAAAAATCCTGCTAGAGTTGTCTGAAACTTGGAATGCCTAACTCAAGAAAAATAAAAATCAGATACCTTTTTTTCTACAAGAGAAAGATCTTTCTACCAGAGATGAAAATGAAGACCATGTAATCATACATACAAATAATTTCTAAACGTACCTTTAAGCATCTAGATTGCATCTATCATATATATAAATATATTGGAGGAATGTGTGAGAAAGTATAGTATATATGTAGTATATACATGGCATTCCAAATACCATTTTACCAAGGAAATGACAAAGATTATTTGTGGCAGTAATTAGATCAAACAGCTGTCATCCTGGTGTTAGCTGGGATACAGACAGGAATGCTCTAACAGGTAAGAGGGATGGGTTCCAATGCAGCAGTCTGGTAAGATTTTCCTGATATTGTGATTGCTGTTCTAATCCTACCATAAAGCAGAACTAAACCAAAAAAAGTCATCTAGGAAACTGTATCTATATGCCAGACTCTGACAGAATAAATTTTCATACTTAGTTCCACTTCACAGTAAGATACATTTGTCAGCATTTGTCAACACCACTGTGCTGATTTGCCCTAAAAGCTCAAGTTTTACTATCAATGTTTACTATGCAAAGCAGTGCTTCAGGTTGTCAGTACTCCACATCCAATTTAATATCTATGTTGAGGAAAAAAGAGAAAATAAAAACCCACTCCATTGTATAGATATTTTGTTTGCTTATTTTGCTGCTTGATGAAAGACTTAAAATATATTGGCTGTGCCAATATCTCCATTGCAGATCACATGATTATGTCACGGTTGATTCTTAAATTCAGCTGAATGCCTTGTATATTGGTTCTGATCAGTGGACAACTCAGTAATGCAAGAGACAATAGCAGGAAGTACTGAAATTGTAAGAGGAAGATCTGAGAAGTCAGGAACATTACTATTTAACATTTTTGCCAAGTTATCCTACTTCCACACAATACACACATCTTTCAAATAATACAGAACACAGATAGAGGTTTAAATAATAACCCTCTAGTTCTGGTTGGGTGCTTTGTGTATGTAATTGTAAATCATACTACATCACAAAATTGCTCAGACCTAATTACAGAACAGCTTCTTTTTAAGCATCCTGTGAATCCATATTAAGAAAAAAAAAATCCAAACAGACTTTTAGAATTATTGATGTGCTTGGGATATTCTTAGGCAAAGAATGGTTAAAATGCATTTCTCATCAGTACTCATCAGTATTTGGACTATTCCCTATTACAATTCATATTGACATCCTGTGTCTATACTGCAAATATTGTGCCATTGCAGACACCACTTTTCAAATGAGACTGGCACAGTACACTAAGATCAGCTACAATAATTAAAGGACCTATCATTTTTCTTTTCATTTTTGCAAGAATTGTCATGACTACTGTGGCTTTGTGACAGTCAAGAAGATCTCGTTATCTCATAATTCCTGAATAATTTACTCAATTTAATTAGCTGGATGCAATATGGCCTTCTTTCACTATAGCAACAATGTTCTAAGCACAATCCAGGAAAGACAGGCATATGAAATCTGCTTTCTGTGATCTGATGTTCATTCATTGTATTGAATGTATTTCTCAGAAAAATTTTCCATCTTCTGTGTTTGAAATAGAGGTCCTGAAAACTGGTTTGTCAAAATAACCAAAAAAGGATAAAAAGGTTTATCCTTTCTTTTTATCACTTATACGTCCCTCCTGGAAGCAGATTTTGTCTTCAGCCTCCTAAGCTTTCTGTAGTTAACAGTGCCATCTTTGCAACATAAATGTGATCGGATTATGCCACAAATTAATATAATGTAACTAATAAATCAAACTCTTCTCATCCCCATTTTTTTCAGAGTAAAAAATACCACATTTTTTCAAGGAGACTATATTTCAGCATGTTCAGTTATTATTTTAAAAATTATCAAAGTTTGTGGTGACAGTCTGAAATCAGTAAATGTTTTAAATGTGCAAGATCCTCCTGAAAAAGCAGACAGGAATAGAAAATATCAGAAGAACATGCTGAAATGAAAATTATAGCCCTTATAGCCAATAATAAATATATAATAATTATTGTAATATTTATATAATATATAATATTATAATAAATATACAATAATTATAATAAAATTATAGCAAATTATAGCAGGGGTTTTATCTAAAGAAATTAAAAAAGGAAACCAGACTTGAGTTATGCAAGTATCAGACTTTTTTCTCCTTGCATTTGCAGGTTGATGGCTTAAAATATGGTTAATATAAAAATAGCTTGCTTTTATTTCTTTATAGACTTATAAGCAGAGTAAGATTGAGGGAACATTCACATCTGAGCAAACTCTCCATCTTTCACTGCATGTACCTTCTGTTCCAGATAAAGCTTTTTTAGCTCCCACTTTTCCTTTCTGCCCATTTTCATGTTTTGTTTATCATCTAGTATCTTTTACAAGACTAATGTGGTATGGATCCATTGACAGATTGCTTTCAAGCCTTTTCTCTTTGTCTCCTGTACTTGGATACTCTCCATGTTAATGCACCGAGGATAGGAAGGCTTTCTTCTTGAACCTAGGCTTGTGCTTCAGCACTCCACCTTACAAGTAAGAATTGTTTATCAAGGAAAAAGAGCACATATTTCAAGCCAAAACTGAGGACTCACTTGACAAGAAGCAGAAAAGAGACATAAGATCAGATGGCAAAATCTAGCTAAACGGGGTGTTGCCATTTCCTCTCACTTGACACCTAGGCTGCCCTCCCAGATGCTGGTGTTAAATATCAAGCAAGCGTAGAGTGATTTCATTTGGCTGGTGAGTTGGATTCTTCTGGAGGTTTTGTGGCACTTGAAAGATGATATGAAAGATGGGTTATTTGATTCAGAAACAAACTTGTCTTGGTTTTGGAAAACAGGTGTCTGCTAGGGAGGGCAGGAGCCTCCCTTGGAATGAAAAATGTAGACCCTCTCCCTCCGAATTCCTATAATTCTGAAATCAAGGGGCTCTCAGGCAGAGATCAGGGGATAGGAATAACAGTTCTTTACTAGTATGTATAACGAGGCAAACAAACAACAATAACTACAGCATTAGCAAGAAAACAGAACACAGGGGGTGTGAGGCCACCAACGAAGAGGGAAGAAGGAGAAGAAGCAGCAGCTCCGTCTGGGTGATGGCAAATTCTCTTCTCTCCACCGCAGCAGCTCTGTGCCCAAAGTGTCCTTATCTGAAGATGAAGAAAGCCCGCCAAACTGTCCCCGCCCTTTTTTTTTCCTGCCCCCCTTCCCCCCCTGGACCCTGCCAAACTCTTTGTGTTCTTCAAGTATCCTCCAAATACCCACAGTTAGATTTTCCTCGCAACTAATGGGTAAAAATTCCACAGGTAACTAAAGGAACTAGAAGAAGGACACCTAACCCCTAACAAAACTATATGACTGAACTTTAAATCTGAAAACAAATCTTGATTTGTAATTCTTGAATGCACACCTCTATAAACTTCTACAGTCAAGGCAGTACTGTGTATAAATTTCAGGTCTAGAACCTGACAAAGAAACATGCCTGAGATCAGTAGGACATAGCCTTAGGACTTCCAATAACCTTCTTATAAGAATCCTCAGTTACTAAGGAAGCCATAAGGAAGTGGAACAATGCGGATAACAAATGTTATCAATTACCAGACCTTCTCAGGCTGCTTTTAATTTTGTATTTTAATACCACAGATCAGCTTCAAGCCTACTAGTCTAGGACCCATATGCATAGAGATGAGGTTGTTAGACCAAAATACTTTAGGGAACAAAACGTGAGTTGAGACACAAAAAACTACAGCGGCTAGAACTGACTAAAGTGATAGCTAGACTGTGGTAAATTGGATAAATTATTATAGAAATCATTTTAGATTTATCTAGCTAAACAGTGAACAAATTATTCAGTAGATTTTGGGACCAATTATGTGCTAAGTTTTAGAGGGATACTTAGGGATCCTTAGGGATCCCCTAAGGAGAGAACTAATTAATCTTTGGAGCTGAATATGGCCTAGCACATCTTTCTCTGTATTCTGACTTTTGTGGCAGTGCGCTTTTACAGAATACTCACCTTTCAATTCAGTTTATACATAGTGTAAACTTCACAAGATGTGCCCATATGAGATTACTCACATAGTACTGTCCTGATGAAGGCTGTAGCCCTTGTCCCCAGACAAAGCAAGAAGAAGTGTACAGAATACACAGAAGCCACATGCAACCTGCTCCTCGGGTTTCAACTGTTGTGTTACCCAGTTTAAATATCCTCTCTTTACACAGCATGCATCCACTGTTGTAGGAACTTAGTCATGAATGCATTTCCTGCAGGTATTCAGATATGAACTGTGGGGCCTTCCTATGAGTTTGAAAGGTACAACTCTGAAATGATAAATGACAATGCCTCAGGCAGCCAGGGGAAGCAAAGGCAGACCGTGTGTTTCATTCATAATTTTCAATAATTTCTGCAACAGAAAAAAAAGAGAGTATTCCTTAATCAAAATACATGGAATTCTAAAGACAGCATCTCAGTTGCATCATAAACCTTCTTTTCAGGGTAGCTTTCAGTTTAGCTGGGAAATCAATTTTTGCAAGTACACAGTAGTAGGACACCACTGGAGGACAAAACTTTAGTATCATTTACATATAAAAGGCTGCATGATTGACAAAATCTGCTTTTCAGGAAGCAAAATTCCATTTTCTTATCATTAAATTGTTTTTGATTCATACTATTGATAATATCTGTCAGAGAAATCTCACTGGTGCTGGACACAAGTGTATGGTCTAAAGAAAAACTGGCTTAACTCATGATGAATGGAATGGAATATAGAAAACAAGGCTTTTCTTCTCAGTACTAGAAGTTTTCCAAAGTCATCATCCTACAAAATAATAACTACGAGATGAATCTCTCCATCAATGATCACTTGGGATTCAGATCTTTTATGATTCACTTCTTGAGGAGCTTATTTTGCAAAGAAAATAATTTCCATATTCCATAATATTTCTGAGTTTAGCTCCATGAGCACAAAACTAATAGGCTAATACACCAATTGGTTCATATATATGAACATATATATGTTCACCAATATGAACATTTTTGTTACTTTTAGTCACAGTGGACACTTTGGCAGGCTACCTCACCAGACAAGGAGAATTTCCATTCTTTGAAGGGTGCCAGATTAATGGATATGGGTCACAAATAGATCATCTTCTGCAGTAAGACAATCATTTACCATAAAATACAGCATAGGGGCTGTAGCCTAACATTACCACCACTATGGACCATTAATTACAGCAGAAATTATTCTCTCTGGTTTTTTGGAGACCCCTTGCCTATATTCTTAATCAGTAAGAATCTCCTTCCCAATCCCATATCTGTCCTCAGCCCTTATGGTTTAGGCAAAATTATGAGTCCCCCCAAATGGACTCCTAGGGCCTCAGGCAGAGGATTTTTCTGCTTGTATTTTGCATATGATAAATAAACCAAAACAGGCTACTTGCTAATAAAAACCAACACTAAGCAAAAGGAGCCTACCTTCATAGACAAAAAGGCTTGGCATGCAGCACTCTGTCAGGCTGCAGTTGTTTGTTTCAGGCCTGAGGAACACCTCATCTCAACCTAGTCTTGAGAATCCACTTGCTAAGTTTTGCAGGTGTGGCTGGTGTAGGACTCTACATGACCAAGAAGTCCCAGTGTATCAGCAAGGATCCTGAAGCAATATATGTGTGACAACCTCTTGAACATTAAATAAATGACAAGAACACTTTTAGGACGCATACATCACACAGCCCCCTCATTCTTGGTTTTTGGGTTTTTCTGACTAGTCAGAATGGCTGATAAGAATGTAGTGCTGAAATTTCAAAAGTTATGTTTGAAGTATAATACCCTTTGCAGACAGAAAACATCTTCCATATTCAATCTATTTCTCATGATGAAAATAGAAATGGAAGTCCCAACACGCCACAGTCCTTTTAACTGGATTGTATTCCCCTAGGGCTAGAGCTTTATGTATTTCTTAGATATAAACAAAGGAAAACGCTTCAAGTATTTTAAAAAAGGTGTTTTGGAGGTCAAAAGACCACTACTAAAGAGCAGCCTGTCAGTGTATACTATAAGATTAGACCACTGATTTGTCATGGCCTTTGCTATTGCTGTCAGACCATGTGGAATGGAATACAACTGTCAAATCTTTCAGCCTCCAAACTCCTCCAAACAACAGATATTTCAGAGAAAAGGTATTGTAGGCTCTGCCTAGTATTGAGTGAAGAATTATCCACATCCAAAATCTGCTAATGCAGTTAATTCTGCTAATCTAATGAAATATTTGAAATATTTGAAATATTTTAGTTGCACACATGACAAAGTTTTGCCAGGAATATACTGTCCACTACTCTGGCCATTTCATAGGGGACCTCTGTCCATGGTGCCAGAGCAGGCACTTTCTTACTCCCTATCTGCTACATAAATGGCACAATAGAAGATCCAAATACAAGAATACTTCGTGAAAAAGCATCTGAAGAGTCTGAAAGAGACCGTTTAAGATGTCTCTCCAACTCCCTGGATGACTCCATGAAAAATCAAATTGCAGCAATTCATCCTTTTTCTAAAACAAAGGCCAAAGAATGTTATCCATTTAACCCCACATATGGAGGATGTGGCTTTGGTCCCAAAAATCTACAATACAGCAGATGACAGCAAAGCAAAATGGCAGAAAACATGCAACAAGAGCAGAATGATACAGCAAGAAAGTATTGTTTTCTTCAAATACCCTCTTTGTGTTTTTTTTTCCTTCTGGATTAACCCCCATGCTGAAGAAAGGATTTAAAGAAGAATAAGTTAAATCTATTAGCATTAAATAGTTAGAAAATGAAGCCCAGTTATCTCAGAAGTTTGGAGGGTTTTTTGTATAAAACTCAACCTAGCAGACCAGTACCTTTTAAATTAACCTTTTCTGAAAAATACTCTTGAAAAGACAAGTAAATTTGAAACACAATGTAAGGCATCTAAACAAGAAGCCCATTTGCAAAGATGCCATCCCTTCCTTTTCTGTAAAAGTAATCGAGTCCTTACAAACTGCATTATAGCTCCATCTGTAGGAAGTCTGGACATAAATAATTTTGTGAGTCAGTAAATATGCATTGGTATATCTGTCAGCCTTGTGGCTTCTTGTACCAGAAAGTGATTTCTTGTGTTTGTTTCAGAAGAAAAAGGGGTGAAAAGGAAGGCAAGGTAAAAAAACCCAAACAAACTCTAAAGTAAGATCATAAACTCTGTCTTCATCTAAGTTCACTGAAATGGTTTATATTACTCAAACATTAGAAAAAACCTTTTTGTAAGATACAGGTTTGCAATGTGATTAGAAAACACTTTTCAAAGTTTAGTTCCTGCACCTTAAGCACTTGAACTTTCTTTGAAGTTAGCCCAACTGCAAGAAACTTTGGGAGAGGCACTCAGGCCTGTAAGCTTCATCTTGGTGCTGGGGAAGGTTATGGAGCAGATTTTCTGGAGCACTATCACATGGCACATACAGGACAGCCAGGGTATCAGGCTTAGCCAGCACGGGTTTATGAAAGGCAGGTCCTGCTTGACCAACGTGATCTCCTTCTAAGACAAGGTGGCCCACTTAGTGGATGAGAAGGGCTTTGGGTGTTGTCTGCTTGGACTTCAGTAAAGCCTTCAACAGCATCTCCCTCAGCATTTTCCTGGAGAAACTGGCTGCTCGCAGCTTGGATTGGGGGTGCTGGTTGCTGTGTTAAAAACTTGCTGGATGGCCAGGCCCAGATAGTGGTGGTGGATGGGGACATATCCAGCTGGTGGTCAGTCCCAAGTGGTGTTCACTAAAGGCCCAGTGCTGGGGCCATATGTGTTTAATATCTTTATCGATAATCCGGATAATGGGATCTGATCTTTCAATCAGTTTGCAGATGACACCAAGTTGGGTGGGAGTGTTATCTGCTGGAGAGTCAGAAAACTCAGCAGAGGGGTTTGGACAGGCTGGATTGATGGATTAAAGCTCAACAAGGCCACTTGCTGTGTCCTGTCCTCGGTCACAACAACCCCATGCAGGACTATTGGCTTGGGCAGAGTGTCTGGGAAGCTACCCAGTGGAAAAGGGTCTGGGGATGCTGAACATGACCCAGCAGTGTGCTCAGGTGACCAAGAAGGCATCAGCAATAGTATGGCCAGCAGGACCAGGGCAGTGATTAGGCCCCTACACTTGGCACTGGCAAGGCTGCACCTTGAATTCTGTGTTGTCCAGTTCTGCGCCCCTTATGACAGGAAGGCCATTGAAGAGCTGGAGTGTGCCTGAAAAATTACTGGAGCTGGTGAAGGGTCTTGAGCACAAGTTGTGATGAACAGTTTAAGGAGCTGGAACTGTTTAGCCTGGAGAAAAGGAGGCCCAGTGTGATTTTGTTGCTCTCTACAGTGACCTAAAAGGAAGATGTAGTGAGATGGGGATCAGTCTCTTCTCCCAGGTAACAAGTGATAAGACAAGAGGAAATGGCCTCAAATTGTGCCAGGGGAATTCTAGACTGGATACTTGATCTAAAATTATATGCAAACTATGTAAAACAATACTCCATTTTTTTTATCCCTGAGATACATTAATTCCAAAACAAAGAGAGTGAAGTCAAGCATGGAACAATGTAGCGTTTTCTGGCTACCCTGAGAAAATGGCCACACCCACTTCAGTTGATGTACAAAGAATGACTTCTGTGTTTACATAAGATCGTTTTCTCGGCATGAACAATGCTGTTTTACTGCAGATCCATATATTTTGTATTTTTGCAGCTAAATGTGGAGGTGAGTTTACTATACCTTTTAGTAGAAAACAACATACTACCAGTAAAAGTTGATCTCAGAATTTGAGTTTAGCAGTGCAGATCTACACTGCCGAAATGAGAAACTAAAAATCATTGGGCACTTTTTTCCTGAATACTATAAGAATTCTTTTTCCTCTGTGGCAAGTATTTGACTCAACCTCCTCATATTTGATTGTTTAGCTGTGAAATGCTTTGCTGTCCTCTGTATATGCTGCAATATGTTACTGATTAGGTAGCAGACATGCCATGACAGAAGTATTGTTACTGTTAAGTAAAATATTTGAAGAAAATTACTTAGCAACAACTTCACACAGTTTATGGTATATTTGTTCCTGAGATACAGGTTTATCCTGTCACTTGTTTTCCACTAGTATGTTATGACACAGATGTTTCTGTAGCATACTGCAGTTTGTTTTGCATTTGCAATCTACAGTGTCTGACAACAATTTGAAAATGCTTCTAGCATTTTCCCCAATGGCTTGGTTTGCTTCTAATGAGCATCTCAAAGGCATAAGATCTGTTTCCTTTCTGATTGCAATGTGAATAGCACATTAATATCAATCCTGATCCCTGAGAATACTGTAATCTACATTTACCCTGCAGAAAACTCCATCTAGTGAACAAGATCAAAGCAATTGATTTCTCAGATATAATGATTTCTCACAATCTATGAAATGAGATCAGATTGTCAAATGTGACATATTTAACGAATTGTAAGCCAGGAGATTTTTACAGTCTTCTACAGAATGTATCCTTTAAAGACTTCTGATAACAATGAATTCTGGAAGATCCAATGAGACCTGCATGGTGGTTCACAGGATGAACTATTATTCAGCTATGTGCAGTCTATACTTTGGATCTTTTATTGGATATTGGATCATATGTATTGCAGTCTTCCAAGTAATTTGGCAAAGTAGGTATGATTATATTATCTACTAGTCTCCTCTTGTAATTCTCAAATCTTTGAGCCAATTTTAACTGAAAGGAGTCTTTGACAAGTCTTGTCAGAAGTTTTGGATGATTATGCATTCACCCTCTTGCTAAAAACAGGACCAATTTCACATTAGAATTTCAACAGAGAAGCTTGAAGAATTTCAACCTCAAAGTCTAATTTCAGGTTATAAGCTTGGCATTTTGTCCAGTCAAGTTTTAAAAATACTGAAAAAAGTTATTATCCATTTCCTAAAAAAATCTCTTGTTATAATTACATTTCTAAAATGTAATAAAACCTGTCTTCTGGGCAGAGAGGTCAATAAAAGTGTCATTGTCAAAGAGAAGGGACATAGAAGGCAGTTAGTACACATTTTCCTTGATTTCCTCTAGTTAGCTAGTCAGCTCATGGCTGAGTTTTTTATGGCATACAGAGAAATTGGCAAGAAGGAAACTCATGAACACACCAAGGATAAAAAATAAACTTCGTTAACTTCCTGTTTCCAGAATGTATTGAAAAATTAATATACACACGATGGTAAGCAGAATTTTTATTTTTAAACTATTTTTTTCACCTACATAATGTAGTTCCACTTCCTGAACAGAATTTTACATTAGAGCTTTAAAACCCTATATGTAACTAGCCCAGATTAAGAAATCTTATTTGCAAACCTGTTTCAAATAAATGTAAACCACTTAGATGCATTTTAGGCAAAATGCAGTTTGTTTTGGAAGGCTGAAATCCAATTGGCAGGTCTGTTATGTACTACCTAATCCTGAGATTCTTTCACAAGTCAGAGAATGTACTTGATGTAACATAGGTTTTAGAAATGCACAAGAGTAAAAAAGTATCAAACATTAGAGAATTAATATCAGTGTCTCAAATAAGGTTGTAACACTCTTAATTCTGCACATTCCCACAGAAGGGGACTAGAAATACACAGTCAACACTGATGTACTCAGACTTCAATATTCAAAACCTCAATTTATGAGTCAACAACATGGAAGATAAATGGCAAAACATGGCCATTTGTACTATTTATGGTTTTCATTTGAAATAAAAACATTATAAATATAATATATTCTTATAGTAACTAAGTGATTTTAGACTTCTGGGCTTTTTAATGACCCAATGTAATAAGAAAATACATGTTTTATTGGGTGGGTGGATGTCATGTCAGTTGTCTAGCAATGGAAGACAAAAGCCTTTTTTATGGAGTTTTACTTAAACATTTTGTTGCACTTTATCAGATACAGAAACAAAATCTCTCTTATATTATTTTATACAATTTTGTACATTACATCAGAGGCAGCAACAAAGCTGAAAATGTCTGCAAAGCAAACAGGTTAGGCAAAATTTGTTTTCCAGATTTTGTTGCTGTTTAAACTGGTATCTAGCCTCTAAGTATTAAAGAAAAACAGCTTTAAATTATATAAATAAATCTTGGTTTAAAGCTAAAGGCTTACATTTTAAACCATCCTGAGAAATTGGTTATACATAAGCATGGCAACCGTGGTTTCCACACTGCATCAAGCTATATTTAGCAATCTAGTACTATATATTCTTGAAAGGGAGAGTGACATCAAAATCACTAAGCATTTCAGAGTTCCAGTAATACAGACTGATTATTTCTTATTTCAGATGCAGAGGTTTGTTTAACTGACAAATTGAATTTTATTTCCTAGTCAACTGTATCTTTCAATGACCGATCATCATCCAGTCCTGAAATAAATGTTACATGATTAAAGTAGTAAAGGTTAAAACATTTAAAACACATGCTGTAGACCTCAGAAATCAAGTCAAGATGTGTAAGGGTATGAATTATTAGAGGACTTATGAAATCTGCCCTGAACAAATTAATTCATCAGTTTAGCCAAAGGTCTGTCAATGAATTCAAGAGCTTTTCAAAAAATGAAACATCTGTTGCATATTTAAAGGTTCTGTCTATATGTAAATGTGTAAATGTTGTAGATTATTCTTTCCAAGGCGGGATATGCAGTTTAAATAAATGTGTTTGGAAGTTATTTTGTAATTGCTGTAATGTCCTTGAGGATCAGAGGCAATTCATGAAGGGTTCCAGCAGCCTTTGAATTCTCAAGCCTTGGGAGTTATTGAGGCAAATTAGATCTTGAGTGAAGCTGAAAGATATATCCATAAATCTGCATAATGACATAATTGTCAAAACAATCTATTACCCCACAAGAGTTAATAGTAGCTTGCCTTTTATTTTTTTTTAAGGAATCAAGATTACATGGCTTTTTAGGAACGAGGTGAAATTCTTTCTGGATTCTGTTTTCATTCCAAGACAACATAATAACTGGGGGTATCATTTGCTCTACAACTAAGTACTGACTAATTACATTCTGTTTCAAAAATAATTTGAGCATCACTCAGCTAAAAGAATCAGATATTCTGTCTTTGTTGTGAAAGGATGGTAGTGCTCCAAAAATTTGCATTAAGCAAAAGTTTAAGCACTTTTTTCTTTGGTATATTTGTACAAAATTTGTGCTGTAAATGAACACCCCAGATTCTGTAGAAAACTTACTTGATTGTGACAGTTTGTACTAGTTACATAAACTTAATATGCACACAAGTGATATCAATGCAGCCACATACTAATTGAGATTTTTTTAATCTTCCTACATTTTGCCTGAAGTATTCTGAAAAAAACATTTTTTATTCTGAAAAAACCATTTCAGAATAACATGAATGCAACTGAATTCAAATAATTTTCATACCATATAGATGAAATGGAACCCCAACTGCTTGGTTTAGAAGGTGACTTTGCCTCAGTATCCATGGTGACAACTGCTACTCCGTTTATTTTTATGCTCCCGTAGTTGTAGTAGTTGGATGATAAATATCAAAGTAAGTCTAGTAACAAGACATTTTTCTTAAACCAGAACCATTCCCTCGCACCTACACATACAAAACTAGGTTAATATATTCTTTAAGAAAAAGAACATAAAAGACATGCAATGAGTGGCTGGTTCTTGGGAACATTTTGTTCTACTATTTTTTTCCAGTCAATTAAACCTACGACTGCAGATCTGGAGTTTTAGCACATCCATTTTCTGTCAGTAAGTGGACCTCCTTTTTTTAGCCTAGGTAGTTGGTTCATTATACCCAAAGACTCACATGGAGAGAATCAGCCCCCAGGTTCAACCACAACAGACAGATGAATTTGAGAAAAGGCTGGTAAACTGGCAGTAATCTGGAATGTGAGGAGTCCCTAGTGGGCCTGTGTAGAAAGCAAAAGAAATAGAATGCTGTACATTTTAGTATTTTTTTTCTGTTTACATTTGTTAGGTTTGGACATTATGACTTAGCTATTATGGGATGGGGTAAAGTTTGCAATTTTGTGATTTAATTATGTTTTAATTACTGCTACTTCCATTTGAACAGCATTAATTACAAATTAGGAAAGGGTTTTAGTCTGGTTCTGGGCCAGGAACGCACCATATGCATGTACACATATATGTACAGGCCAACAGATTGCTCTGAATAATCCAAATTGCCAGAGATATTACCTATCAAATACCTAGCAACAATTTTAAGTTACAGGTATACATTAAAAGGTATGCATGGGAACTTAATTTTTTATAGAGAATATATTTCTAATAATTCATTTCAATTAAAGTAACTTTCAAGGTACTGGCTTAAAAGTCCTTTGGTG